GACTTACAGGACAATTCTTAAGTAGCTCTAAAAAAATTTCGCTAATTTGAAAATATGGTCTTAGTACAGGAAGGTATATTTCAAAATGTTTCAAAAATCAATTTTGAATAACTACTAATTGATGTAAAAAAGAGGTGAGCATGCTTGTTGAATCACGCTGTATATTATATTRTATTTTGAACAGACTCTAGAACACAGTATTTCTAAAATTTAACAACAGTCTATTTAATTTTGATTAATAATAATAATATATTTTTGAAAAACGCTTTACATTGGAGCAGAACTGGTCTGACTGCCTGAAATTAAATAGTTGRACGATTGATTGCTCGAAATCGATCTTAGTTTTATCAGTTTTATGGATACAAACTTTTTATTCTTTTTAAAATRTAAAACATTTTGATTGATAATTTTATTGTTCTGTGCAATTTTATAATACTACAGGCTGACACAAAGTATGCCACTATATTTTCATGTGGTGATACTGTCGGAACTGACCAGTGACCACTGACTACTGAGCCGATTTTAAACTTACAGCATAAATTGAACACCTCAAGTCCTAGTATGTAATGTAGTGAAGGTCGTATAGCCCCATTCAGTATCACCGATTTTCTTGTTATCATGATTGTGGTTTTTGTTTATACCATTATATGCTCGTGGTTTATACTACCACGGCTTGATAATAATATTATATCAGTCAAGGTGTATTTATCAATAATTATTTATTGATAAATACACCTTGATATCAGTAGAATGTGGTTGATACAACTGTCTTGATTGTAAATAATGATGTTCAGWATATGTTTATGTAGTTGAYATTGTTGACAGTTGTTTTGCTCGTTTTATCTGCATTCTGCAGAAACGTGAAGTTATTGTTACTTTTATTAATTTATTATTTTTTCGTTTTGATTTGATTTATTTTTTTCTGAATTTGTGTATTCGATTATTTTATATTATTCATAATGGAAGTAGATTCTGATTCTTCGTCATCTTCTTCTTCAGATTCTAAYGAAGAAGAGCTCGAAAAGTATAAACAAGATGAATTGAAAAAAAAAATCGATGTTTTAGAGAATAAGGTGAATTTTGAATAAGAGTTTGTTCATCCAGATTTTTGAATAATCATGATATTTTATGAATAACAAACTTTAGTGTTAAAAATTACAGGACTTCTGGTTGGAAATACATAACATATTTTATATTAAAAGATCGCATTGATAATTGATGATTTACAATTACATTTTGTTTATTTTGGATTAATATGATTGATGGTAAACTCTATTTTATGGAAAAATCTTTTTTGTATTTTTATAGATTTTAAATAATCCATCAGATTATGATGCTCATGTTGAACTGATAGATGTGCTTCGCTGTGCAGATGAYTTGGATCAACTGCGAGTTGCTAGACAACGTTTAAATGACAAATATCCATTAAGCGCAAGTATGGGATTTTCATTATTTATGTTTAGCAATTAATAAAACTGTCATGACACTCTTGTTTGTTACCTAGGCGAAATACTGCTGAGTTTGATTTTAGAGGCTAACACAAAGGCATTCACAATTGTYTTCTTATTATATACAGATATTTAAAAGCTTAAAGCTGTCTGAGTATTATAGTTTATATATGGATTCATTGCCATGATAATGTTTAAGCTCCTAATTATTCTTTTGAATATGTATTAGTTATTTTTTATTCATAATATAAATTATATGATTAAAGGTGATTAATTAAATATTTATTATTGTATTAAGTATAATACCTAATTATTTTAAATATAATATTAATTTAAAGATAAATTATGATCTACCTTAAAGGGTTGGAATCTATTTAAAGTTATTATCCAGGAATCTGCAATGACCTAACATAACCCATTGAAAAAAGTCTTAAAACAGAACCAGTAGTATTTAACCAACCTATCCCTAAGTTTCAGTGATAGATAAAAATAAAACAATTATTAAACCAATCAATTTTGATAAAAAAAATGAATAATTTTAGTGTACAATGATTAATTATTATTCGAGACTGTATTTTATGTCCCATTGAGGATTTAATATATACCTACTAATAAAAATATTATTAAAAATTTGCCAATTATTTTTCATACTTTTTCAGATTTATGGTTAGACTGGATAAAAGATGAAATTGCTATAGCAACTACCGATGAAGAAAAAGATAATATAATTAAATTATTTGAAAAAGCAGTTAAAGATTATTTAAGTAATGACAAAATATTTAATTTATTCACTCTAAACATTTATATTGCTACTTTTTTATTATACCTATTGATTTTTCATAAATGCCATATTATTTGTTAAAATTCATAAAATATACTTCTGTAGAAATAACACTTGAGTATATTCCTCAATATTACTGAATTTTAACATTTTTTTTATAAATATTTAGTACCTATATCAAATGGATTAATGAATATTTTTAAAATGTTTATGTAGTTGTACTTTATATATAATAATTTACAGGTATTGATTTATGGTTAGAATATGTACAATTTAGCATTGGGTGCATGTCTGATACTGCTGGAACAGACATCATACGAGAATTAATGGAACGTGCATTAACAGCTGGCGGTCTTCATGTACCTAATGGCAATGTTCTATTTGAAGTGTACAATGAATTTGAAAAATTAATTTTAATGTCTTTAAAGGTTGAGAAAAACATTAATTATACTCATTTCAATTAATTTTAACAATTGTGTTATATTTGGTTTTATTTTTTAGCAAGGTACTGATGAAAAAGCTATAAATGATCAAAAACGTCGTATAAATAATTTGTATCGTCGACAGCTTTCTGTGCCTTTATTTGATATGGAAAATACTTATGAGGAATATCAAGAATGGTTGATTTCTGAAAATCTTGAAAAAGATAAATCAACTGTGGATGCCTACAATAAAGCTCTAAGTAAATTACAACAAATTCAAGTTTTTGAAGATCGTTTAGTAAGTTTTTATTAACTATTATTTATTAATAACTCCTTATGTAAGTTGATGCAGAGTTTCCATCTCTCAATTCAGTGTTAAAACCTTAATCAAACATACTTTATTCWATTTAGTATAAAAATGTCAAGACCGACAAACAACTGTCTCTACTCTTCCGCCTATTTTTTTTTTCCAAAACCAAGGATTAGGATCTCAAGTTATGTATTAACTCATTCATTTATGAGTTAAATTGGACATTATTTTTCTGATTAAAGTAAAAATTAATCAAATTTTAATTAGGTGTGTAAAAATAAGATAGAATCAATTTTTATATCTTAATAAAATCCTGTTTTAGTACCTATCAGTCTTTTTTTAAAGAAAATTAAACAGTTAAAGAATTAACCTATTCAAAACTCAGAAAAATAGTCAGTGAGATCAAACAATTTTAGATTTTGAGCGGAGCGATGAATGTATTGATTTTACCATGATGTGTGTTTTTATTTTTTTTTATTTTTTTTTTGGATTAAAATCCATTTATAAAATTTGATCGTTTTAAGTAAGACTAATTTTGTTAGACTTTTATGTCATAAATAATTTTTATTTTAATGAATGCRATGGCTTGTGTTKGTTTTTGAATTTGTGGGTGATACTGGGGAAAATAATTCAATGACAGTGTATAGTATTATCATAATTATCTATCAAATTCTCCTTAGAAAAAAACCCTACTTCCTATCCCCTTAATTGCTGATTTGTGTTAATCATACTATAATAATATTACAACATTTAAGTTCATACTTCATTGAAAAAAGCTACTAATTTCTAAACTGACTTAACAAATATTTGTTTTTATTTATTCAGTTATCAAAAGAAGCTAAAGATCGACTAGATTCTTATGAAGAATATATATGTTGGGAAAAAAATCCTAAAGAAGGTGGTAATAAGCCAAGTCGGATTATATGCTTGTATGAACGTGCTATTGCTGATATACCCTTGACACAAACCCTTTGGGCTGACTATATTGATTACATTGCCTTAACAATAAAAGAAGCTGATTTTATATTAGCTACCTGTAAGAGGTCAGTYGATAACTGCACATGGTCATCAGATCTTTGGACTACTTATTTGATTCAAGCTGAAGCTAATAACCAATCTCATGAAGAAATTACAGGTTTGCTATTCATTTTTTAAAATATTTTATCAATATATGTATAATTTGTTTTGCCTTAGCAATTATGGAAAAGGCATTATCTTCGTGGTTCAGTTCCCCAGCAGAATATCGTTCCTTGTATCTTTCATACATTTTTTATTTGAGACGACGKTTAAGTAATACAGATGCTGAAACAAAACTTAAGAGAATCAAAGATGTAAGATCAATGTTAGAACAAGGACAAAAATTTCTTCTGGAAAGTATGAATATTTATTTATTTTAATTTATATTAACTTAGTTTCTTGTTCATTATACCTAAATATTTTATACTATAAGTAAATGTATAATCAAATTTTAAAAAGATACCATATAGCCATGGGTTTTATTATTTCTCATATGTTATTATATTTTAATAGATCGAGTTTAACTATCATATAATAATAATAAAACAGTATATAATATGATTAATAATTTTCTTAATAGTCTTAAAAAAAACTTTTAATTTTAAGGTTATGGTTATTCTGGAGATCCAAACTGTGAATTGCTTTTATGGTGGACTGATTTTGAGGCCATTATAACTGGTGATATGGAACGTGTAAGAAACATGTGGAATGAAATTTTAAATGCTGGTCTTAATCAATATTCTTCATATTGGATGAAATATATTAATACTGAAATGTAGGTATAACAAAACCTAAAACTAAAAACTTGGTTTGTGTCAGATTTTATATCTGATGACTGATGTTGTTCAATGTTGA